AATGAATTTAACCGATGTTTCCTAAGTACTAGGCTAGAATTCTAAACACAGGACAATTTATTTTACTATGGGATTAATCTCAACAGATCTACTCTCTTTGACAAATCCCTCCCTCTCCATCTTGCTTGTTACCTTCTATACTTCAGTGTATCATGTGCCTTTCCCAAACAGCTTTGCTTTCCACTATTAATGATTTTCAAAAACTGTTCTGTGTTGACATCAAGACTACTTGCTTCTCAGACTCTGCTGTAAACTAGATGAATTCCTTTAATAGCAGTCTTCATCATCAAGATGCTTTATTCTTACAGAAATGAAGAGAGGCAGCTATGCTCTTACGCTAACTGCTATGAAGCATAAAGATTTTTTGATTTGCACGTTCCAGTATATGAGGGAGGAAATCCCAGATTAAAGTTTTTACATACTTCCTGACCTGGAACCAATGAAGGGGAATTTGGGACCAGATTTTGCAAGATCCTGCATGAATCTGTGTTATGCATTTCCACATTTATTAAAATGGACAAACAATATGAAATAGTCAAGTGGCAAAATAAGAAATAAATTTTATTAAGGCTAGTTGCCTACTCCTGTATGTCATTTCCTTTCTGGTTTGTATCATTCTTGAGAGAATGTACAAGGAGAATAAAAAATGTCATGAAGAACTAACACCAATGGCTACTGGCCAGCATCCCTTCTAGTGAGCTTCATAGATGCAGTAATCAAACTCTTTCTTTTCTCCTTTTCAAAATAGAGTATTTTGCATCTTTCTTATATTCATCTAACTATTCTGATTTTTTTGTGTGAGATAGCTTCATATCAAAAGAGGAGTTTTCTTCTAAGCAATTCTGAGCAAGAATTTCATAAATTAGGCAGCATTCCAAACCAACCATTAATGTCATAATTTTGAAGTTCTTTTTGCATATCATGGCAATTTAAATGGAAAAAACTATGAACATATTTCTGAAAAAAACCCCGTACAGTAATTCCACTGGAAATACAGTAAGTGTATATTAATTTATAATAATTCTTAGGTCTCCATATTATAGTAAACCCAATGTATTATGTTGCATATAATATAATTAAATCTACTAAAGATTATTTCCACTTTGAGAATAATCTAAGCCCTTTTCAAAAAGCACAAGCATATCAAATACAACTAATGAAGTATTAACACAGTTTACACATGATATCTTTCATGTGAATCACAAAGTACTTGACAAAGATTATCTTTCACTACAAAAGATAGCAAGAATCATTATTTAACAATCTTTGTACCAGAAAAGTGACACGCTCTCTGAAAAAGAGATTAACCAACTATTCTAGCATCACATGGCAGGCAGCTAAACTGGGAATAGAACCTAAAGGTTCTGGCACCTAATTCCCTGTTGAAGGCACTAGGCTACATTACATCCCGTTATACAAAACAGCACTGACATCAGCAGAAGTACAGTTTATCCCCTCTAGCATTTTAGAATGTCAGTCTCCATAACACTCTCAGTGTTTTTTGTTACAACACAGCTAGTATTAGATTTAATTGCTATTAATTGCAATTAGGAAATATAAACAGTTCAGTTTAAGCAAATCAATATGTTTGTTTTTTTTTTTCTTACAGTATTTCCAACTTAGCTTTGACTAGAGATGATGGGAAATTGTGCGTGTGAGAAAAACCTGAATATCTGTGAGTTCCAGCCCTATTTTCAAGCCAGAAGTTTCAGAAAAGCATCTGAGCTTTGGATACTTGCTGTGAGCTGGCAGAAAGATAACAGACAATTTTTCCTTACATTTGCTTAAACCAGCCACAACTCTTTTTTAAACAAACAAAACTGAAAGCAGATGCTAAACGGATGCTCAATATTATCAGTTAGCTCCTAATTTCAGAGAAGCAGCTGAGTTTCCAGACACTTATCTAAACTGAACCTCTGAGCTTGAAATTTGTTCAGTGCCTATTCTAGTACCATAAATTAAGCTGGGTTTCTGTGTTATTTTTACCTATCTTCAGTGTAGAATTTTATAGGATTTCCATTCTAATGCCACAGAAAGTACCACCCATCAATTATAAAGATTCAAATCAATCAGGTGACTAAAAGAGAAATAGGGTCAATAATTATAGGATCTGACAACCTACTAATAACTCATCTCAGAAAAAGGTAGATGAAACAGGAATGTCAAAAGATGAGAAGTTAAATTAGACAAAATTAAATGTGTATGATTAGATACCATACAACAATATTATAAAGCAAAAGAAGAACAAGAGAACATAAGAAAAAAGTGGACAAGTAAGTAATCCCTGTGGTTTTGCTCTTTCTAGAATACAAAAAATCTGAAACACTAAAAAGTGTCCAATAAGTTTAATAATTTATATAAAGATCTCATTGTCCCAGAACACCATGCAGGAACATATCCTCTCTTTTTTTTTTTTTTAAATATATACATTATTCACAAACATAAGGATAAAATTTTCTGTTACACTGACAAAGATAAATGTATCTCAATTTCCACACTGATAGGCATAAACAGGGCAAATGTTTGGAGGAATATGTTTTTCTCTTTGAAACGATAATGCACAATTAAATCACAATTTTCTCCAAAGCAGAACTAATCTTCTTCCAAGATCAATTGGGTATTTTTATCATATTCCACTCATCAGAAAGTAGGGTAGCTCAGCTTTGCAGGAGGAGCCAGGTACTGCGTTGCCTGTATTTTTTGGGACTGTGGTGATATGCATTTGCTATTCTTTCTGCTGGTTTTAGCTGGGGTGGAGTTAACTTTCTTCATAGCAGCTCATATGATGCTGTGTATGGGATTTGTGACCAAAACAGTGTTGATAACACACCCATTTTACCTATTGCTGAACCATGCTTGCACAGCATCAAGGCCTTCTCTGTTTCTAACACTGACCCTCAGAAAGTAGGCTGGGGGTGCACAAGAAGTTGGGAGGGGCCACAGCCTGGACAGTTGACCCCAACTGACCACAGGGATAACACATACCATATGACATCATGCTCAGCAATAAATCTGGGGAAAGAAGGAGGAAAGGGGGAAGTTCAGTTATGGCATTTGTCTTCCCAAGTAGTGGTTATGTGTGATGGAGCCTTGCTTTCCTGGAAATGGCTGAACACCTGCCTACTGATGGGAAGTAGTGAATGAATTCCTTATTTTGGTTTGTTTGTGCATGCAGCTTTTGCTTTCCCTATTAAATTGTCTTTATCTCAAGCCATGAGTTTTCTCTTTTTTACCCTTCCGACCCTCTTTCCCACCTCACCGAGGGGGAGTGAGTGAGCAGCTGTGTGGTGCTCAGCTGCTTACCGGACTCACCACAACAGTCCTCAAGAGATCCAGGGTGTAGTAAGAACTACAGAATCTGTGATATGATTGTGGAAGACACCATTTGGTTAGGGTCTTGGCAAGACCTGGGCAAAATTGAATTATGTCCGGATCTATACCTGAGTCTATCATTTTGACTGCTCTGCTCTGATGAATTTCTGGCCAGTAGTGAGGAAAGAATACAGATTGTTCACTTCTGAGCTGCTCTAACAGGGTAATTCATACAGTACCATGAATCACTTAACCTATACAAGATACAATTACACTGATCTGCTACAATACATTGGCAAGCAAGATCAAGAAGCATGCTGGAGATCATAATGGTTCTGTAGAAATTTATATAGTACTATCTTAATCTTGATGTCATTGTTAAACTGTAAGTGAAAATTTCCTATTAAATAAGTTGAAAAGACAATACAACTGTTCTGCAGTGACATAAAGATTTCCATTATAATTTTTTTGTTTTAAAAGTTCTGTGGCAAGAAATTTGCAGCTTTAATACTGTCCAAATACACTTGCAACTAAAAGAAAAAATATATAAAATAAATATATCGATTGAGCTCCATGGCCTGGGAGAAGGGTGAAGAAGAATATTAGTTTATTTAACAGCATGGTTTAACAAGGACTGCTCCTTTTAAAACATCCTGTTTTCACTTATCAAAGTATTTCATAAGACAGCCTCATGAAATAAAGTTATTAAAAAGACATTAGGACAATCTTTTTAAAAAGGATTAAGCTAATTCATAAATTATTACAACAATCTGAATAATCACTAATAGTAAGTAAACATTCTTCCTGGATTAGCAGATTCAGATAGTTCACTTCTCAAACAGTAAATTGCTAAACTGTTCATGATTTCTGTGAGAAATGCCAGCCCTTGGTAATATTTAATTCTTTACAATTCTTAATATAGTCATCAGAAATGCAGCACTTACTCTGTTTACCCAAATTGTACTCCTACAACCTGGGGCGGGGAGGGGGGGGAGTGGAAATCTATTCCCTTATCTATTTTGCACAGCTCCAGAGACAATGGTGCGGCAGAAGCATGTGACTGGGAACACGCAGTCTGGGAAACAGGAGAGAGCAGGATTGTTCTTTTCAACAACAGCAACCTGCATTTACATTGTCTTGAACTGATGATCAAATTGTACCTTCGATCTCACTCCTGTTGTCTCCAGACTCTACCCTGGCAAATCACTTCCTTACTCCTATTTCTGTCTCACACAAGACAAAATTTTTAAATCTGAATTAGTCAGCTCATAAGCCCACACTATTGATAAAAGATGCCATTACTTCATGTATATATGTGGACTTTCTCTAGAAGCATATTTTTCAGTCTAGTCTTTTATAAAAACTTGAAGCTTTATGTTCCCTCTGATAACTTTGGTCTATGATGAATATCTTTTTCATTTTGCCTACAAATAATGATAAAGAACAAAGCAGAAAATAATCAATAGAAAATGGGTAAGATCAAGGGAACAGTTATCTTTGACAAGTGATGTCCAAGATCTGTGTAACCATTATTCGTAACATATATTAGGCACATTAGGAGCATAATACATAATAGATAGTAGGAATTTTCAGAGGCTACAGATATTTAATGCAGTTTGCATTATGTATAACTTTGTAAATCACTACACTATTTGCCAATATTTTTTTTTTTTTTCAAATGTGGTTACCTTTCTGGAAGAATTCCTCTAATTTCTCCTTGAAGGGCTGGAGATGTTCTTCAGAAGACTCTCTGCAAACTAACTTCATCTGCTTTTCAGAGGCTACAAAAAGAAGTTGAGAGTCATTTGTGGCAGAATTCGTCTACCAGAAGTAGATGTCAACACTGTAGAAACCTACATTTAAATTAGTCACCTAGACTTACTTTAAAGGAAATCGAAATAAGCATTAAGGAATCCAAAAATTACATTAAAGTAAAAAATACCAATGCTAGTATAGCATACCCAATAGCAACTTTTATATGTGTTTAAAGAGTGGAATTTGTCTTTAGTAATAACTTTGTCCTAAAACTCCAGCTGTGTGCTGAGACTTGCCACTAACACAGCCTGCCTCACACACAAATTCTAGATGGTATTTAAAGCTCTAAACTTTGTTTCTGTGGTGAGTGGAGGATGCCTTGTATCTGGACTGATTTTAATCAATCAATGCCAGGCATCCTATACTCAAGCATTTTTCCTCACACACATGCAGGAATTCAGGTTGCTTAAGTAAAGCATTCAAATTCCAGGCCATGATATGAAATAGTAGAAGTATGTAAGAAAGTTAACTTGCATCTAACTGAAATTTGTTTACTATTTAATCTACCTGTTATTTTAAGACCTGATGCCATGCCAATTTCTGAAAACTCCGGGTTATTCACCAATGAATTTTAACATTCCTAGAACTTGTAGTAAACTTTGTAGATTCCAGCGTTCCACATTAAAGATGAAATGTCTGTCAGAAATCAAAATGCAATTACCTTCTGTTTAGCAAATGAATTTATGAACTACTATTAGATTTTTCTTTTACACAACTCTTCATTCCCAAGAAGCTAAATTTAGATGAAAATTTATTTTGGAGTTAAACCCAAGAGTTACAGTTTGGCTGCATGAAACTTATTCACACCATATTGTTAACAACATTATGTAATTCAACTTAATGCAGCAAAAATTAATACAAAACTGTGGAAACACAAGTTGAGAATTTGTAATTAAAATGTTATGTTAATGTAACTTTGCACTGCAGTGAAAAAAGTCAATGGAAGGTTGAAAACAGATGAATATATTTTATTGTACAACTAGTAGTGTGCCTGTAATACTCTCGGACCACCACGATTTACTAAAAAAGACAGATTTTCAATTAATTGAGATCAGAAATAAATTTGAACAGTTGTTGTTACAGAAAAATACTGAAAAAATACCTGTTCCCACCTAAGCGTGTATTTTAATTTAGCATCCCTCCACAACTCATGTAGGCTGTGGACTATGACATTATTGGAGAGCTCCAGAGCTTCTGTAAAATGGCCTGGGCTATACTCTAAGTTTATCTTTAATCTCTAGTCTTGCAACCTGTAGCATAAGACAGACCTTTGAAACTGTTCAGAGTAAAGTTAATGGATATTTGTTTGCATGCCAGATAGTAGGCAGAATGGAGCGTTAATTTAAACATAACAGATTGGGAAAGAAAGTCTTTTATTAGCTGCTCAGTTACATGTCTTTAATAAATTAAATTAAGCAAAACAAATCAGAAATCAGGAAAGTTTATAAGACTTTTAAAGATTTTTTTTTTATGATAAATGCCTCTTACCATTAAAAATTTGAACTTTCCATGACTGTTATCATGCACTGAATGAAATTTATGTATACTTAATATTTATGTTTGTAGAATTAGAAGGAGATTTCTACAGCTATCCAAGCAAATTGTAACACTTTACTTTGCAAGAAGACGGACACATTAAATTGTATAGGGGAAACAATCTAGCAAAAGAACTGAGACAGTATTGTTAAGTTTCTGACTGGAAGTTTCAACAAAGTAGCAGCTACAGGTTTGTGTTTAAAAAAATATACAGAAAATTAGATAAGACAATATTTAGAAATTAGATAAATATAAAATCACAAAAGTGTAAAAGTATTAGTACACATATTATGTTCAGGCATTTGGTACACAGTGACTATAGAATGCATATGATTATTACAGTCATGTAAGGTTGCAACAATTGCAAGCCATAATTATTTTATAATAATCTTACATAAATAAATTTGCATAAATCTATACAGAAGTAGATTTCTATGAATATGTACTATACTAATAAGCTTGTAGCTACAGCAGTATCTAAACATACTCTAACATAGTCTAGAAAGGTGTTTTCCCGAACATATGGTGTTGCCAATGCATTGTCTAGAGTACTGAAAGCTTCCTACATGCTTCCTACAAGCTTTAATAACACAAGATTTAGAAAGGTTACTCAGATATGTCCCATGTAAATATTTAAATGACCAAGACTAGGATGAATTGTTTCTAAATTAAAAAGAAAGCACATATAAAACCCCTTCAATATTTTTTTTTTTTTTAATAAAGACGACTAAGATTAACCTTAACCAGATGACAAAAGCTACAGGAAAATACTAAGAAGAATACTAACATCCTTAACAAGAAGATCAACATTTCGCATGAGGGGATAGGAAGAGTAAGAGGCACACAGAAAGGCACAGAAGAGAAGACCAAATGAGACAGGTGACAGAGAATAAGTGAATCAGGGGTGCTGATTAAAACTCTAAAAGTTTGAGACAAGATGAAATGAGATGAGATACCAGTTTGCATTGCTTAAGTCATCTTGAAACAATGAAACTGAAAGAGACCAAAGAATTCAAGTAAATACTGGCACACTCTAAGAATTTACATTATTGGAAAGCCTTAAAAAAAGAACTTCAGACAATTCTCTCTGGTGATGATATTTATCTAGATGATATCTATCTAGAACTAAAACCTCTCAGTTTACTTCCTGAAGTTCTTTCAGATAACTGCCAAAATAGACTGACGGGCTCTGAGAAAGTTTTAGCTTTGAGCTAAAGGAATCAAGGACAAGGGTGATGAAGCGAAAATCTGTTAATCACAAAGGCAATGTAGTTGTTTAAAAATACTGCTTAATCCTCCTTTAACTGACTCTGAATTTAGGTTACTTCACTCAATAACCTATATTTTTGGTCTACAAACAAACAAAAAAGTATCTGGGCAACTGAAGGTTGACTAATTCTGTTTAAAATCAACTGCACTGAAATATTTGAATAAAACTTGAATTTATTTACTTGCTAATGTTAAAAATAAGACACATCACGTAGGTATGGAGTCACTGGCTGAAGGCAGTCATGAACTTCAGCTGGAACTGCAGTTTCAAAAATTTTGTATTCCTGCTGAAGTCTTCCCAGTCTCAGTCTTCCCTTCAGTAATGAAATATCCTATGCAGAATAATGATTCCTTGACCAATACCTATAAGAAAATGACGGCTAGGACCACCAAGCAGATGTATCTTTTAGCCTGAAGAACTTTGGAACATCATCAAATTTGCCTGGGAATAGATATGGCAAAGAATGGTGGAAGTGTGTTAAAAGGAATCACAAATCAGATATAAATAAAGACATACTTGGAAGAGGAAAAAGATTTTCATGACAGGGCTAAACCAAAGGTTTTGATTAAAATGGCAGTTGCAATTCTACATATTAAAGTCAGCTGGTCTTTGTCAACCTAGATATGTAATATTGGTGAAAGGCTACCATACAACTCTATGACCTGCCTCAGTTCTACACAACATAATATAAAGGTTTCTGCTAACTAACATTCATTGAATTTCCTGTTACATAAGTTCTTCTTTTTTTTTGTTTACTCAAAAATTTACTTGAAATATATTGTTGGGAAAAAAAAAATTACCAAGTCATGCCAACCATTACATTAAAAAATTAAAACTGAAAAGTCCTGTTCCATCAGTTGCTCTGATTTTCTTTGCTAAAAATGCTATAACATGTGTGAGGGAACATTTTTAATAGTTTGTTCTCATATTCACTACAATAGAAACCCTTTCCTTTTTAAAAGAATATTATTTTAGCAAGGTTTTTATTAGAACGATTCTGAGGTAAAGGATCCTATTATGCATTCCTTCTTTGAAATACATTCTGAAAAGCTTCTTTCTGAAAAAATTTATTTCCAAAATTCTGAGGAATCTGAAGGAATTCTGAGGAATCTGACAGCTAGCACACCACACGTACACTTCTCATCTCACCACCTCATTCCAAAATAATCATCTGAGAAAATAAACAACCTGTTTCAGCATTACTGAGTTCAAACAGATGCAAATTCTCCGTTACTGTAATAAACTTTTGGTTCATTTTCTTGGTATGCATTGTATGTTAGTGAAATTAAATGTAATATGCTACTTTGAAAATTGTTTATTTCTAAATGAGCTATTGCAAAAAAAAGAAAATACAAGTGTGCAACAGCATTTGAAAGCCCTTACAAATTGTTGGATGTACATCATGCTTCACTCACTGCAAAGCTTGGCCACAGAAATGGAAACCATTAGCAAAACATTAAAACAAAGCTGGAAACTGCTGATTATCAGTTTGCCACTGTCTTCAGATTTAATGCAGTACTTGGCTCAAAAAGTTCTTTAAAAATCCCCAATATAAGTGAAAATATTTACAAAATAGAATGTCTCTCACTTAATGCCTATTGGGCAATAGTCTTTTAAAACTCCACAGACACTTGTAAATCTGTCAAAAGAATCACTGCCCATAAACAAACTTTCACGTAAAGAGCATTTCAGTGTCAATCAGACAGGATTTGGAATTTTTTAAGCACCATTTTTAAAGTAAACGCAAACCCAGAAATAGTTTAATGTTGATAACAGTAAATTACTAACTATTTACTCACCAGAACGCACCAGTAGCATTTACAGGAATCATCCTGAGAGTGAAACCAAGTATCAACACCATGAATTCCTATAAACCTGTCACTGACACTATCCCACATGAATTATGCCATTGTGAAAACTTCTAAAACCCTCGCCTCCTCTTGTCTGTTCAGAGCCTGGCAGGTTATACTGCCAAGCTTGCTCTTTTATTTTCTTGTTATAATGAAGGCTTATCTTTGACAGGAGGGTTACTATTTGATAATTCTTTTTTAGAATCCTTACCTTTTCTGTTTCAAAGGGGATTCGAAACCATACCGCAAATGAATTCAATGTAGCACTAAATAACCCTAAATTTCTGTATGAGAGGATCCACGATTTTTT